TTTTTTTTTCCCCCCCCCCCCCCCCCCCCCTTTTTTTTCTAATTAACAGTGTGCATGTTGTCAGGCTTTGTTTAATAATGCATGATTGCTATCAGTAGCAAAATCCTTTGAATGAAGCACCACTGAATGGAAACACAATAATACCACTGGGGGCTCAGGAAGAATGACAAGATTGTGTGTGTGTATTTTCTATTGTAATAAATGTTCAATGGAAAGAATCAGTGCCACCAAATGTATGAAAGCAAAGGCATAGAGTGCAACGCAAAATGGCCATGTTGAGGATAATATGGGTAATGGCGGTTCTGCCTTGCAGAGATGATTTTTATATGGACTAATAAAAAAAAGGACAGAATAAGTTTATGTAATTACACATGCACATGTTTCATACAAAGAATCTGCAATATTTAGGCTAAATCTATTGTCAGGTAACAATGCAGCTGGCAAACTGCTGCCTTTCTGCCAGGTCTGGCAGGTGGCTTGTCCCCGCTCAGCACATTAGGAAGCAATCTGCAGTGTCATTTTCCTGTAAAAAAAAATTAACACCACAAATCAACACCAAATATAATTGCTTTCATTTTTAGTATAAATCAAGGTTGCAGGGGAGGGTGTTTTAGCTGTGCTTACATTAGCTCCCCCTTCTATTTACTCACACAGCACAGCCTCAGTCTCACTGGCGGTTACACAACATACAGATGGTTTTGTTTGCCGCCATCAGCACGTGTGTGTGTGTGTTGGGGTGTGTGTGGGCATGACGGGCACAGAGAGGGGGAAGGGCAGCTGAGGGCCGTTTGTTGTGTGCTGTTTAATATGTCATTATCGAAGTTCACACGTCATTAATTAACTCAAAGGCTATCGCTTAGCTTTGAAGGGGTAGAAGCGTAAAACAATAACCATGGGAGACAGACAGCTGTACCTGTACCAGCTACTCTGCAGCTTCATCCCCTCACACCCTGCTCAGGGTTTTTCAGTCCACTCAATTCTAATCAAATCCACAGTCACTACAAACACCACTCATGTGAAAATACTGTTTAGTGTGCTCAAATTTATGTATATGTATATGAATTTGTGTTTGCAAAAGTGTGTGTTGGTGGTGTGAGCGGGGGATGAGATTGCCTCAAATTGATTCCCTTCGCCACACGTCCCCCGCTCTTACATTGCCGCTAGCCCCACGGCGTTTGGAGACAGGTAGTCGTGTCTATCTCCCCCCAACACAAATCGAGTGTGGCAGGTGCGCTATCTTCTCGTATTTTCTGCCATTTATAGCCCACAGAAATGAATGAGGGAGAGCCAGAAGCGAGAAAGAGGATGATTGGTAACAGGGAAATGAGGTACTTTGTCATCATCGGGCCTACTGATTGGGCTTAGGGGGGCTTGTTTTTCCTTTTTTCCTTTTTATTGTGTGGCAGTCAAATTTGCAGATAAACAGACCAATAAAATTTCTAGCAAAAGCATTTGTATGTACAGTTGCTGTCGCCTAAACAGATGGTTACTAAAACTGCAGATTCCCAAAATGTCTAGAGATCTGACATTTTGTGTGTTTGATCTCATGGTACATGAAGTATCTGAAATGTCATGATACACAGACTGTGTACTTGTCCATCACCAGCAGCTGAAACAGCAGGATCCTGCAGAAGGATGCAGGCAAACTTGCTAGCATGCTAACCAGCAGTAGGGTAGAGCTCACACACGGTTTAGCTGGAAGCCGTGGTACAAGGCTAAAGACTACCGCAGAGCATCCATCACTAAGGATCAAGCTCTGGCTTAAGCTAATGGATGGCAAGGGAGAGTTGGTGTGCAGCTAATACTAGCTCACTGTATCACATTGATTTTCACAGCCTTGTAGCAGCCCTTTGATAAAGGCAGAAACATGAATGGTAACACCTGGCCACTCTGTCTTATAGATTTTGTTTGTTTGAGCAGGGCTGGATAAAAGAGTGCATGCGATAGAGTGATAAAAATGTGTATATGTGCTGAAGCTAAGCTACTCCATCATTTTACAAGAACACTTAGAACTATTAAAGCCTCTACTAAGGATGAAATGTGGTGTAAGATGCACCAATATGGCTTTAGATGCACTGGTTTATTGAAAGTGCCTCAAAGACAGTTTGTCTTGCATTGTACTTTAAATAATCAAGAAAGTCTCAGGTCTCTAAGTGGTACAATTTACTTGAGCTCCCAGACGAATAACTACAAAATACCTTTCAGCTTTTATGACCATTTTATTTATGTGAAACAGATATCAACTGATTTGAGGAGGATTTGAAATGTACTCTTACTCTGGAGCACATTTAATTGGTATTCACAACAAAACTGTACTAGTTCACCCTTTCATCTGTGTGGTTTCTCCCACTCTTTTATACACGTGCACACAAATTGTGAGGTGACTATTCCATTTAAAGAACTGTCAGAACATACCCTGTGAGCACATCAGCCTCTTCCTATCCTCTGTCAGCTCCTACTGAGGCAGTGTGGGGGTATGTCAGAAATGTGCAGGGATAGATAAAACCCAAGGAGCCAAACAGCTTTGTTTCATTCAGTCCCCCTCTCTCTTTTTCCTCTCGCCTCCTCCCCGCTCCCTCTTCCTATCCCCTCTTTGCCTTGCATAGGCTGTGAATACCCTGCATCTGAGAAATCAGACCAGACTGACTCACAGGGCTCTGTGAGCCAGCACCACTGAGGCTGCCAAAGCATGCCGGTGCCAAGCTGTCCCACCATGCACAGAGCCAGACCCACGCTGCTGCTGCCGCTGCTGTTTGTCCTGGGTCTGCTTCTCCACCTCGCCGACGCGCAAAGTAAGTGGATTGCTGGCTTTCACGTGTTGGATTGGCCATGGGATAGCAAGGTTGGAACTGGTTTCATTACCAGACATATAAACACTTCACGTAGCACAGGTGTAACTACATGAATCTACATGAGACGCACACGGCTGATACACTGGGGTAATATTACCATAAATTCAAATGCAATATTCAATTCACTGAGGTTGACATCACCGGTCTGGAAGCCAAATGTGGTCCAGTATGTGACTTAAACAAGTGAAGTGAAAACCTGATAGTTATAATTCTGAAATTAACATTTCATTCATAAGTTGGATTTTTCAGTGAGAAGTATGAAATGTTATACATTTTTAATGAGAACTATTTTTGTGTTTTACTGTATCTTTGGATGTGTTACTTCATTTTCATGTTCATTCACGTGTTTAAAAAATATCAGCATCCTCTAGAATCTCGTTAAACTCAAAACTGGCTTTTGGCAAGTACCAATTCTAACCTCTACTTCTGTCTCCCGCACACCCACCTATGTTTTACATCTCACAAGACATGTGCTCAAGTCCAAGTACTTTTTTTTTCTGCTGCAAAAAACAATGATGTGAACCAGAAATTCTCAGGCCTCAGCCAAAAATCTCATCGTGAGAAGTTACTGGAATTGAGTTACTTGACACCAGACACCTGCCCACTGATGTGTAATAACAGTTTTCAAACCTCATTGAGCTCCGGTCCTGTACCACAGCATCTCCCCTCTGCCACCCGCTCTTTTTTAAACTAAGATCTATTAATCATTAGCTTCTGGAGTCACAAATGGATGAATAAAAGTTTTATTGCTCCCTTTGCACCGACCAAAATCCTCTCAGTTCAGTTGAATATCTTCGAATGAAGGAATCATTCACTCAAGGTCATATACAACGAAGCCAGGCAAAGCAAAATAGATGGGTGAGATTTTCAACTTTGTGCTTGAGAAATGTTCCCTGCAATCTGCTCAAATGTGTTTTATTTTTCTTCTCTGCCTCCCACCACATATGTCTCACAGCAGGGGAGAGGCAAATGGGGAAATGTATTCTCCGTTTATCCCTCATTTTATGTGCTGCTCCACGATTTATTGACACAATTTAATTAGGGGACTTTCTCAAAATGGCATTAACGGTCAAACATTACCATTGAGTGGGCTCTTTAGGAGCTATCTTCTCAGAAACTCCTATATTCCACAATTTAGCGTCAATTTACATAACATTTTGAAAAAACAAACAAACACTTCTGCCAAAACCTTTTCCTAGACTACTGTCTTGACCGAACTTCCACTCTCACGTCCAGACATTCCACAGCCACATCTGAGAGCAAATATAACTGAGACCTCCACAAGTGCAGTCAACAGCCTCCAATTTTGACACCTCTGTGCTCACCATGCCTCCAACCCCCCAGTGCCTCCCTATAGCCATCTGGCTCTTAGCAGCAGCTGCTACCCTGTACCACCATAGTTAGACAGCTGTGATGGGTCATCATTTCAAAGCCAAAACAAACCTACCATGAGGTAGCCACAGAGGCTGTCTCTTAATGACAGAGGGTGTGTGGGAGTCAGGGAGGTCACAGAAATGAGGTGCGTGTCCTGTCTGCAGTGAAGGTATGAGAGCAAGTGCCTGCTCCTAGCCAGAACCACTTTAGAAAGTACATATTAGCCCTGGGAGTTGTATTCGCTCCATTCTGCTCCTGCAGTGCCTGATCACCTGTGTGCACGTGTTTGTTCCTATTCTTCCCAACTCCCTTCTGTTGTTTTTCTTCCTAATCGCTCTCTTGCCAATTTCCTCCTCATTTTCTATATGAGCTTTTTTCCCCCCTTACTGCCTCTCCGCCTGTGTTTGTCTTCCCCCAACTTCTTCCCTTGCTGTTTGGAAGTGCTACAACCCCCTTTCAGCAACTCAGAAGCTCCTAATTTTCCTCAACTGTGCTGCTGCATATGCATAACCAACCCATAGACTCTGCCCACGAGACTCTCTCCCCATCTGTGGTGTGTACAGAGGACCAAAAAGACCTCCACTCAATTTAGTTTGTTCCAGACCAACCCCTCAGCACTAAAATCCAAACTGAATTTTTGAAGGGAAAGCTGCCCTCTGTTGGTGCTCTGGAACCATTTGTGTGTGAGCTAGCCTCTGGCTGTGGACACGGTGGAGGATATGATGCACGCGAGAGCAGAAAATGGCTGAGTCGGCCTGCTCAACAGATGGCACAGTACTCTGAGCCAGTCCTACTTGCCACCCCACACAGTGGACACCGCAGCCTCCTCTCAGGAAAAACGCCAATCAGGCTCCTTAAACACACATTTTTGTTAATGTGTTAATGGGAGTGCTACCAAATGTGTTGATTCTGCAAATGCTTCCATGGGAAACCTGTATCTAGCTGAGAGGAACATAATGCAGTCAAAACTCATCTTAGAGGATCATGTTTGGTCTTGGTCTGGTTTCACTCTTTGGCCTTCTCTTGGTTGCTCTTTCTGGTTCTCTCCTTCACCCCCCGCCCCCTTCAAATGCAACCCATTTAATTTGTGTGGCAAATTGGGCTTGGCAGTAGCTTGAAAGAGGGTCATAATTGTCCCTGGTGAGCTAAGGGGGCAGAGCATGAGAAGGGATGAGCAGGGAGACAAACAATTCCTCTGTGTCTTCCGCTGAACAGTAATGCAAGGAAGCATTTCACCAGGACAGGGATGAAGCAGAATAAAACTTTGATGTGGGAATGAGCGCTATATTACTTGGCTGGTCATTAACGCAACAGATTGTTTTACGAGCCCAGCGCTGATATGAACCAAAAGAAAACCTGCTGTTAGAAGTTAGCATGTGAACAGGAAGCAACTCCTTAGCTTTCAGCATGTGACTGAGCTACCACATATTCACATCAACCTATAATGACTGAGCTACAAAGGCTGCTGAACTGCAAAAGAGAAAGCTGCCAATGGATTTGAGAATTTATTTTTTCCTTAATGAACAAAGTCATATAAAAATGCAGTTTTAAAAATGATAGACAATAGAAGCTGAGCTGTGTTTGGAGGGAAACCGACTAACAAACACTCGCACGCTTCATAGCTTGCCACACCTCGTGCTGTGTTGGACAATGTCAAACCTTGGGCCCAACAGTGTTTGAGCTGATTCCGTCCATGGTTGGTGGATGGCGTGGTGAGCCTCAGACAGCCAGCACGCTTCTCTTTAACACACCAGTGAGTGCTGACAGACTCCTCCAGCCTCTCTAGCATTAAAATGTTAACATCCAAACCTCACCTCTCTCACTTGTCCTTATTTATTCAGAAGCATGCACACACATCCACAGGCCACTAATGTAGGCACTTTTGAGCCAGAAAATCAAAAATGAACCACATGGGATGAAAACAGCAAATATCTATTGACACAGCACTTTATTCTGAGCCACCGCAGTGGGGGCACGGCAGGTACAAAAAAAATTACTCACATTTTAAGGCAACAGCAACATATAGACTGTCACTTTGTTCAATAATATTACTTTATCTTTTTTTCATATGCTGAATTAAAATTGGACTCCTTCTGCAAAATGCATAGAAACAAGTTACACATCTATGATCCAAGAGCATGTGTTGCTTTATACCGTAAAGACTAATTTGGTTAGCAGAAAAACAGTAACAATCCAGCAGCATCTCCCTATTGGATCTAGCATTTTGTGCCTGGAAAGTAATGATCATAATCACAACCTGTGGTGTTTGCATATCAGGTGATACACATACAGTATAAAGAAAAACATTGGTCTGCTACCAACACATGCAGATGAACGGGCAAGTCTCAAATATATGCAGACACACACACACACACCCCCCTAAACAGAATCACCTTGTAGCAAGTCCAAAAGCTAACAATCCTCTACTCCCAAGATGACATTAGGCTGTGTGTGTTTTATTCATGCCTGACCTAATATGAATTATTGTAAAATAGTGTTGTATTTGCATATGAGCTTCCAGGCTGTACTGGAATTAGCATTTTTACAACAGCTCAAATTAAATCCCTCTGCTTAATTTGCCTGCATGCTAATGTGATTTAAATCAAGTCTATTCCATTCCCTTTTCCACTCATACCCACACAGTGCTAACAGAAACCAGTCAGGGACATGAACATATTAGGTCAAATATATCAGGCGTTAATTCTTCTGTTGTGCATGCTAAAAGTTAAATCTGATAAATTATGTATTTATATGTTAGTGTTGGTGTTAAAATGAATGCCTGCTTAGGGGAAAGAGGAAGATTACTTTACCTGCTCTGTCAGTGGTAGGGGAATGAGTGGGGACTTACCTAAGAGGTTTTATTGCAAAGAGGAATGTGTAAAGCAAATAAGAGAGATGGGTTCATTGCACAGTAAAGTACTTAAAGGCAAGCAAGAAAAGAGAGTTAAGGATGATAGATAAACACCTAGAATATATATGTGCTTCCCTTGTCTTAACCAGCTCAGCAGAGAGTGTTTTTCTTCTGTCCTGTGACAGTGTAAAAGCAGGTAGTCTAGAGATCCTTGTCAGAGAACAACTCACATTGCTGTTGTGTTATTCTCTCCATGATTCACCACCCCAACTTTGTGATTCTTCAGGGAGCTAGCAACTCTCAGACCTATAAGCAACTCCACACACACACACTAAGTCAAGCACATACACTTTTATGAATGCACATTATGTACTATTTAGAGCTGCAGCCTACATACACTTCCTGGTACACATTTAATTAGACACATAAATAAACACAGCTGACATGTTTGTGTATCCACATAAAATGACATTACAGCACAAGTTGAGAACAGAACTCAGTGCTTTGGATCCAACTTTAATTCACCGCAATTCCCTCCGTCTAGCGCCTCGTTCATCATTCTGCCGGACACTGCTGAAGTGGAAATCTCATTGTTGGCTCCACTCGTTCATTTCAAAACATATCTTAGTACAGTGCATCTTTAAAACCAGCATCAACATCAATAGAGAGGAGAGAGTGCGCATCACATTCACACTGCAAATAAAAGTGGTGAAAA